AATGAATATTAACCATAAAATTGGGCAAAAGGTGCTGAAAGTGGCCATTTTGGCGGAGAAGTACGCGTCCGACTATACCTGGTATGTGGACGTTATCCTAAACTTGATTAGAATCGCTGGTGACTACGTTAGTGAAGAGGTCTGGTATCGAGTCATTCAAATTGTGATAAACAGAGAGGATGTTCAGGGATACGCCGCCAAAACTGTCTTCGAGGTATACGATTCACACCCTAAACATAATTGACATAAGTTTTACGCAACTCTTTATGAATGACAGGCACTTCAAGCGCCGGCATGTCATGAGAATATGGTGAAAGTCGCGGGTTATATATTGGGAGAGTTCGGTAATCTAATAGCCGGTGACCAGCGGTCGAGTCCATTGATTCAGTTCCAACTCTTACATTCGAAATACCACTTGTGCTCGGCTTCCACTCGGGCTCTACTGTTGACAACTTATGTGAAATTTATTAATTTATTCCCCGAAATCAAAGGAGACATTCAAACGATTCTCAAAAATCATAGCAATATTCGCAGTGCGGACGCAGAGCTTCAACAGAGGACTGTAGAGTACCTCCAGTTGACGAGCATTGCGTCGACCGATGTGTTGGCCACTGTGTTGGAGGAAATGCCTCCCTTTCCCGAACGCGAGAGCTCTATATTAGCGTCGCTTAAGAAGAAGAAGCCGGGAATGACGGGAGGAGTGGCCACTACTGGCAAAGAATACAAGGGAACTATGAATAACAATACGTTGAACGACATAACGAGTCCAGTGATCAACACTAACGCCTCCGCCGATCTGTTGGGACTCAATAGTTCGCCTCCGACTGCCGTCACATCAAACGCCAGTCTATTAGTGGAAGTGTTTGGCGATTCGGCCATATCTTCGAACAACACGTCGGCTCTGAATAACAACATCGGCTCTTCTGGTATCACTTTAAACAACTCCGGAGTCGTCATCAGCAATGAAGAGGGCCTCAAGAAGTTGGTCTCCAAACACAACGGCGTTCTCTTTGAGAACGATTTGCTTCAGATTGGAGTGAAGGCGGAGTACCGCCAGAATCTCGGGAGGATTTCCCTCTTTTACGGCAATAAAACCAATTCTCAGTTTCTCTTATTTTTCCCATCGATTTCATGCACTGAACAGCTCCAGAAGTGTTAGTCAAACACACAATACATTTATTGATACAAATATTTTAATAATTTATTTTGCTATTTAGGTGTCAGTCTTCAAGCGAAACCCGTGGAGCCTATCATCGAAGCGGGCGCTCAAGTCCAGCAGCAAATCAACGTCGAGTGTATCAATGATTTTAGTGATTTGCCCACACTTTTAGTGGAGTTCAGTTATAACGGTCCCCAAAGGTTTCCACTAAAGCTTCCGTTGACTTTAAATAAATTTCTGGAGCAAACAGTTATGAACTCAGAGACCTTTTTTGGCCGTTGGAAGAACTTAAACAAGTAATTGCTTTTGTTTGGCTCTAATTGTTGACAATTTATTAACCCATGATTTAAACCCTTTCTCATTCAGTCCATCACAAGAGGCGCAGAAAATATTTAAAGCCAAACACGGAATGGACGCCGAAGTGACCAAATCTAAGTTATTAGGCTTTGGGTTTGAATTATTAGAGAACGTGGACCCGAATCCTGAGAACTTTGTGTGCGCGGGTATTGTGCACAGTAAGGCTGTTCAGGTCGGCGTTCTCCTCAGACTCGAGCCCAATATGCCGGCGCAGGTATGTTATTGTCT